AAATGTTTTGAAGCACAATATTGTGTGTGTAGGAGATGTCGAATCATATGAGGACCATGCTTGTGCTCTTCACCTCACCCATGTGAAAGAACGCTCTTCTTCCAAAGTATGGAGTATTAGCTAGATTTTTTAGGTGAAGGATTACTGAGTAGTGCCCGCTTTCGATTCATTTAATAATGTGGTGTCCAAGTGTCTTAGGAGAGGGATACGCTGATAAAATGCATCGCTAGATTGAAGAAAGAAAACTTAACTTAAATATCCCACATCCTAATGACCTAAATTAAACAACATTGTTTTGACTAGATATATTCTTCAAAACAACAGTATAAACAAACATCACTATTGTGCATAAGGTACGAAATCTCTCATTACTATGATGGCACCATAATGGAACGCTAAATGGTACTCGTAATAGAGTACGTAGATTATTTTTTATCTTTTCAAAACGTTTACATACCAAAACAAACCAATACTATACTACCATGTCCCACAAAATTTAGTCAAATTGATATTTTTATGTCAATGATAATAAACTTTGTGTAATTGTTTTAGTTATTATATTTGTGAAAAAGTATAAGTTTTCTACTTTGTGAATAAGTATAAGCCAGGTGTTATGAGACGGAAGGAGTACATTTTTTTTGTTCAAAAATGGACCAAATCGATTTGGCTAAAATCGAACAAGTTGGTCCTGGTGTCTTGTAGCTCAAAATTTCTGCTTGAAATCGCCCAAAATCCGAATCAGGACCAGATGCATCTCATAGGTAAATTGGACCCAAAAAGATTGACAATTTTCCCTATTTTAATTAGTATTCCAATTTGACTACTAGAACACACTGATGAGGAAAATGACCTCAAACCACTCATGTACATCTTTACATGTGTGTCCTTCATAAGAAGAAATCTATCACCCTTCATAAATGGCCGGGCCGACTGCTTACTTATGTGCATTTGGACTGAAACTAGTTTAAATGAGTTCTAGGTCTACTTTCTTCAAAATACGCAACAGGTGTTATTATATTATTTGGGGCAAGTATAAATAAGGTAATTGTGGTCGTGAACATTTTCAAATAGAGACTTGGAGGTTTATTCTCACAAAGTGGTGCAGTGTGTTTTGAATCATTATTGGTCATCCGTCTAGATTCCGTAAAAAAGAAGGTGACATGCATGTCACTTTTTATACATCCACGTTACATTCTTTTTTACTGCATTTAAACGGGAGACCCCCCATATCGAAAGTCATGTCCGCCCCACTTTGTGAAAAAATGAATCTCAAATCCCTATTTCAAAATGCGCATAATCACGAGTATCCTTTTGTAGTTTATTATTAGAGTTAATAGCTCCAAATAGGACTAAACTAATCCCTAAATGCACAAATAGGACTATGTTGGTTATCTTACCAAAATAAGATTAAAGTATATTGTATCTACCTATTATACCATAACCTAATAGGATAATCATATTTAAATTTGTAATAAACACAAAAAACAATAAAAAATAATTTCACTCATACAAAAAATTATAAAAAAATCTAAAATATTTTTTAAAAATATTAAATTAATAAAAAAAAAACTCTATAAATAAATAAAAATAGATAAAACACCTTAAAGAATATAAACAATATATGGAGGCATATCTCACTGCCTCGGCAACTGCCAAGCCAAGTTACATCTGATCGGCTAAAAATGTTGTTTTGTGTCAAAACTGCTATTTTTCTCTTAAAATGCTTTAAGATGGCATTTTTACTCTTTCAAAATGTCGTTTTGGCATTATTTTTTGGTGATCGGAGCTGGAGGTTGCTGAGGTGGCAGCATAGGCCTGCATATTTTTTAATACTTTTTTCATTTTTTATTTATTTTAATTTAATTTTTTAAGATTTTTCTTTTATAATTTTTTAATTTCCTATTTTTTTATTTTTAATAATTTTATTTAAAATTTATTTTGTGTTTTTGATTTTTTTACGTTTTTATTATAATTAAAATTAGGTTATTACTTTTATATTTTAATTGTAAATGAAATATGAATTGTATTAAAACAAAGCAAGGGTAAAATTGAAAAGCTAGTCCTATTTAGGGAATTTTTAAGTTATGGTCCTATTTTGGCAATTGAAGTTTGATTTGGTCCCTTTTGAGGAATTCTCCCTTTATTATTTGTATTTGTTAGATGACAATTAAAATGAGAAAATTGAGACTTGCAGATATGCCACTCAACTCGTTAAAAATTAAGTAATCATATCTCTAATTTCTTATCTCCTTACCTGCACCATCAGGGTAGCAGTTAAAAAGGGATCTAAATGCTTAATTTTCAATGAATTGAAGGATGTATATGCAAATCTTTCAGTTCAGGAACCTGATTGCAGAATCACAAATAGTTTGAGGACTTATTTGTCTCTTTTCTCTATCTAAATAGTTCAATTGTAATATTCATGTTGATCCACAAGGTACTATATCTTGAGAAATTTCCCATTTTTAATGGGTTAAAAACTCGAGTTGGAACTATATTTGATTTGCAATGAGAAGGAGACCACACATATATTTCTGGTACCTGTTACGTGAAGCACGAATAAAGAATGCAGAGCTGATCCTCATCTCCTTTGTGATGCCATGAAAGGTACATTGCCATTACTTACTTATTCTTTTAGGTATTTTAAGTTAGCACGAAAGTGCTTAGGAGTGGGCGAGGCCATGATAATGTCTTCCTCCTGGGGAGAATGGGCCCCCTGGACGGCTGGCTGGCCGGATCGCTCACATTTCACAATCTTAATATATATCATCAAATACATACTCCCTCCGTCCCTAAATTATCTTCAAACTTTCCTTTTTCGTCCGTCCCAAAATTATCTCCTCTTCCTCCTTTTAGCAAAAAATTTGTGGTTCACAATCATTCTTACACATTCTTACACATTTCTCTCTCCTCTGCACAACTCTCTACCACACAAATCCCACTATCTTAATAAATGTGCCCAGCCGAAAAGGGAGAAAGATTAGGGACGGAGGGAGTATATAATAATTTGAGAAAAAACTTCCTCAAATGTCATATGCCTGAAAAGATCATGCCTAAAAGTCTCACAGATTTTAGGAGTTTGCATATAAACGTCAGATTGTACATAAAGTAGCACAAAAGTGTCCATTATTTAATTTTATAGCAAAAATCAGTGCCTCTCCGCGATATTTTGTTAAAGTAGAATCCGATAGTACTCGATCAGTACCGTATTATAAACTTTTTCAAATTTTGTACTGTAACAGTATGAGACAATCTTACTAAAACATACAGAAAAAGATAAATGATTCGATCTGGTCCGGTCTCGATTCTGGAATGAGACCGGCTGGTCATTATCAAAGAAAAGGGAGGTCCAGGACCGGCCCGCTAGATAGTGGTCCCAAGCTGGATTGGGTAAACTGGCAAGTTCGGTCCCAGCCCATAACTCAATCAACTTTTTTTTCCCGAATTGTGTGGCCTCGAACCAGGCCTAGACCAACCGGTCCAGTCCAAAATAATCACACCCAGGGCCGAGTAACGAAGACCAAGAGGGGGTCGGTCCTGATCTGGGACTGAAAAATCGCGTCCGAGCGAATCCAAAATAGTGTCGAGCTCAGTTCTGGATCGGTCGACTACTCATTAATTATTTTAGTTTACTACTCCTTACTCATTAATTAGTAGTCTATTAGTAGTTAGAGTATTGGTTTTATATCGAATCTTCCCCTCTAAAAGTAAAGAACACGTATTAATTTTATGAAATAAAATAATATATCTAAAAACAATTATATTGTTGTGTTATGATTGATCCCTTATCCAAACTTATACGTAGTACGGAGTTGTTCTAATGACTATGCATCTTGTCAACCAAAATCTTTTCATTCTCTTCCTTTTGTGCACCGAATTCTTATAATGTTTGTATTAAAATTTTAACATCTAGGAATAATTGAGTGTGTATACATCTTTGAATATATATATATATATATATATGAGATCACATACAAAACATGATTAAAATATTAACCTACAAACTCAATAATATGCAGCACTTTGAACTTCAATATGCAGTACAAATAATGTAAAGATGCAGGGGTGAAATCACATACAAACTAGTCATCTCATTCAAATCATCTTTACATTATTTGTATTCCACATTAAAGTTTAAAGTATTCCATATTATTCAAGCCATAAAATTGCAATTTCATATTTACATTATTTGTATTGCATATTAAAGTTCAAAGAGTGTATCTTTACATTATTTGTACTGCATATTGAAGTTCAAAGTGGTGCATATTATTGAGTTTGTAGGTCAGTAAATTAAGCATGATTAGTATGTGATCTCACTCCTCCTATATATATATATATATATATATATATATATATATATATATATATATATATATATATATATATATATTGATTGAATGTATGACATATATATGCCTCAATTAAACACAGTCTGATCGGATGATTTTTTAATCGACGTTACAAATAATATCATAGATGTGGGGTGCACTAACGGTAAATATTATGAAGTCCTATAAACTCCAATATAGAATCATATGACATCCTATAATCCTATTATGAAGTCCTATACATCCTATAAGCATAACCTTTCATTTTCAAATTACTCCACTTTAACCTCACTACAAAAACAAATGGCTATTACCATACGAAGTATAATTCAAACTTTAGAGACCAAAATAATTCTTATTTGGTACGGAGTTTTAAAATCGTTTCAAGATTATATCTATGATTTCTAATCCTCTGCGTGCCCAAGAATAAAAATAAATAGCTTGCAAATTGCAATTGAACACAAACGTCATTTATATAAAGAATTATACGCAGTAATTTGTTAATAGTCTCGCAAAACCTTAAAATTTGTTGGGGAACTTTATTGTGAATCTGGTAATAAAAACACTATTTTTGTGAATGTGTTTCCAAGGGGATTATTTTTGCCCAAAATTTCTATCTTAGAAGACATGCCAATATACATCATTCATCAACAATTCAACAGTGATCAACCATACTAATCAATTTTGCTAATTAACTCAGAAGATAAATAAGCAGGAGGAAAGACATGGCAGAACAAGAAATTGTTTGGGAAAAAAATCACATGGATGTTTTCATTGAGAAAACAAGCACTATGTACATGTTACAGGCTTACAATTTAGTCAAAGCTCAAAACCTCAACCTCCAGTTAGCCTTTTGCTAACCAGGGTTATAAACATCACAACAGCAGCAAAGTTTTTTTGAAGCAATTACACTTTTGGTCCCCTGACTTGAAAATTTCATTCTCGACTTGAACCTTTTAACTTTTGAACCTACAACTACAGACTTTTTCTCACTTATGGTCCTTGAATCGAAAATTGACCGGAACTTGTATGGAAAGTAGCTAGAAATGTGGCTAGAAGGACCAAAGTTAGAAAAATGGAAGTTGAGGACCAAAAGCTTGAATGAATTCAGTCAAGGGACCAAAAGTTGAACTAAACCTTTCTTTTTAAACATACATTTACAATTACAAGTAGTCGTGTAACCTTTCAACTACAGGTATCACAAAATTTTCCATCCATTCTATTCTGAACTGCTTTAATAGCAGCAACTCTAGCAGCAGTAGCAGCTCGGTTTGCTGCTATGACTGCCTTGTTTACCTGCTCTTCTACACGATGAATATTGATAGCCTTTTGTGCTGCTCTTCTTGCAGCCTGCAGAGCAAGTGAGCAAACAATGTATAGTCATTATTATTACATGTGTGTACTTCATGGATAAAGAGGAAGAGGAAGTTGAGTTCATTAAATGAGAATTTAAATGTGTTGACCACACTATTTACCTGAACTGCTGCTTCCAAGACTGCCTCATTTACTAAGGGAGACGAAGACTTTAGATTGCCATTCTGCCATTCCCCACTTCTTGTCTCCCCATTCCGAAAAATGTATGCCCCGTAACCTTGTTTGCGCCCCTCATGCCATGATCCTTCATAACAGTGGCCATTTGCAAAGTGATACATCCCAAAACCATGGACTTTATCCCCAAAATACTCTCCAGCATATCTGTCTCCATTCCTACAAAGCCATAAAAATGACGGATTGGTACTTTGACTCCAATTAGTTGGCCAAATTGGCTGAATGCACATGATGAAAATATGGAAAATATTTACTCCCCTCCATTTCTATTTATATCTCTTTGTATTGTTTTTAAAGACAGGCTGTAGATAAAGTTTTCATTCTTTATTAGGCAAAAAAAAAACTAATCAGTTTACTCTGTTACCATGAAATAAAAATTACTCCATCCCAAAACATGAGATACATTTGAGTTTGACCCGGGGAAAATGGCAAAATAAAAAGTCTGCTTTATTGAATCATTTGGGACATCCCAATAGGGAAGTGTACTTTACAAGAAAGGAAGGAAGGAGTACTACTTTTTGACCAGTACAATATTCACCGGTAGAAAAGTCATTTCCAGCCGTAATAAAACTCTACTACCCTCAAATCCGTGAAAGCCATACTAATAAAACTCTAATTTTCCCAAAATATATGAAACTCTAATTTGGTAATCCTTTTTAAACATGCCCATATAACAAAATACATCCTTCTATCATTCACTTCCAGTCCCTTGGCCGAACCCCTTCCTGGCAATTGTCCTGCCAGTTCTAGGGCCCTCATGGATAGGATGTCATCGTTTTTTTACTTTCAGTCATTCCTAAAAAATCATCCTAACTAATGATGGTCTCAAAGAGGTATCATTGGACAAACTGATGACCCTAACAATTACAGTACAGTAAACTATAATACGAAGTATATGATTATACTAATTCTACTAACGGTCAGTTAATAGTTCAATACATGAATGCATATGATATCATCAAGACATCAAGTATAAGCATATTAGATTATTAATTGCCAATTATTGATGCAACGGTGTGCAAAAATCTGAGACAAACTACAAAATTACCCCAAAGAGAAAACCAAAGGAAATGTCACAGAAACCACGGGGAAGTGAACTAAAATCAAAGTTAGCTACTGTCACAAATTCAAATGAATGATTAGACTATTTTCCACATTAGGTTCAACTAAATAACCACTATAGATCACCGAATCTAACAATCATTTACATATTAAATGCCCGAAGGCCACACGCAAAATGGATTTAGACTCATATCTCTATCATCTGGTGGTAGAACAAAATACACTACTGTTCAACTAGGAGAGAAGCGCAGTGTGATTCAAGAATAAAAAAGTCATCTTTAAATCTTAAATCCAAACCTCATTCCCACCAAAAAAGAATATCAAAATTGAATGAAAAAAAAACATCACAAAATGGAATTAGAGGGGGGGGGCTTCATTTACGATTTTTTTTACCTGAAATGGTAGCAGCCAAGGCCGTGTTTGACACCGTATTTGAATTCACCAACATAGAAGCTTCCATCGGAGCAAGTCTGAACCCCACAACCATGGCTCTCCCCATTACACCACTCCCCAGCATATGCGTCTCCTGTGTAGAATCTATAAACTCCATAGCCATGTCTCAGACCAAGCCTATATTGTCCCTTGTACTTGCTCCCTTTGGCCCAACTCTCTATCCCATACCCATCATACTTTCCATCCACCCAGTCCCCTTCATACCTCCCACTTCCCATGTAACTGTAAACCCCGCTCCCGTTGCACCTTCCCTTGTGGAACTCACCTTCGTACAAGTCCCCGTTGCTGTAAAACTCCACCCCTTCTTTCACTACCGCCATTACCTTCTCCTTCTCCAAATCCGGATTAGCCTCCCGGCCTATAAACCACTCTACCGGACTCGATGAACTCTTAGACGCGAAACCCACTCTCTTCCCGTACTCCTCACAGAGTTGCCTCAGGAAAACGTAGCACAGCCGAACCATCTTCTTATTCCTCCGGACCATGAACAGAAGCACCGCAACAAAGGTCAGCGCCAGGAGAAGATTCTCCGAGGTGGGGACGTCATCCCAGTTGAAGAAAATCGAGAGAATGTACAGAGAGAAGAGGGAGACGGCGAGGATAGAAGCCTCCCGCGCCGAACCAGATCGGAATGGGCGAAATCCATGAGCCGGCGACGGCGCCGGGGTGGTTCCGCCCGGCTTTTTACTGTGGGGCTTCTGCTCTTCAAGGTCAGGGGGGTCGCCCCCATCGGACGGCGGAATATCGTTCACGGCGGAGCTTTGGATCGATAACCGGAAGGTGGGCGACGAGCGGAGAAGGGAGGAGGAGTGGGCCCTCGTTAGCTTCACCTGGCTTTTCTGACCTTCCATTAAAATCTACTCCGTGTCTTTTTAAATTAAAGCGAAAATAATCCCGGCCGTTGGAATCGGATCTCTGTTTCTCGCGCGCGCTCCACCCTCCCCTCTTCCTCTCTTTATTATCTCAGAAAGCTGCCATTAATGCATCTCGAAAGCTTAACCGCGCAACCAAACAGGGCCTTCATATCAAGCTCCCCAATATATAGGCAAATGTACAGTAGAGAGAAGAAGCAGTTTGTGATTATTCAATTCAAAATCATTAATTTATAAGAAATGGTTTGGGAGTTTGAATGAGTAAACTGAAGCAAGAGGAAAACATAGAGAAAGAAAGACAGAGAGGAGGAGAGAGAAAAGTAAATTAGGTGATGATGATAATGAGTGGGTTGAAAGTGGGCCGGGTCATGTGGGAGGACTGACCAGTAGGGCTCCTGGATTTGATAGCAACCGTCCGATCATTCTGGTGTGTGTTCCTGTCCGTTGGATACTCGTCTTTCCTTCAAATTCCCCATATTGACGATAAGTCTAGAAGGGTAGGTCCCCGGCTTTTTTTGTTTCTTACCAATAACTATATTACTATTTCAACTTTTATTAAAAATACATAATACTAAAATAATGCAATTTAGATCGATTTAGATTTGCCAATGCAAATTACATAAAAATAATTTCATACTTCAAATTTGTATATATGTAATATATATACACCAACTTTATATAAAAAAGTTATCTTAACATCAAAATCATATATTTTTTCTTTCACAAATGTAAATTTATAGTTGAGTACTTAATTTAGAATATTTTAGTATTCGTCAAGATACGATTAACATTATAAACTTCCATTGCGAAAAGAATAATATTATCATAGTCTATACAATTGCAACGCTTTTAATTTGTGTTTGTCATCATACGAATTTCATATTAACATATTTAATTGACCTTTACATTATTGAGACACTGTTTTTATTTTATTCATTGATGTATTAAACAATTATTTTATGTAGTATAAAACAATATAAAATTTGTTCCAAATAAAATATTAATGTTTGACTTTTTCAGAACAAAAATTGACTTGTTAAACTCTATAATTTTCACTATTACTCAATGTTAATAGTCAAAGTTGTATACCCTATATTGACAACTATAAATTAAAAGTATTGCGATTAGACGCACACAAAGAGAGGGAGAGAAATGATCATGTCCAGCCCTTCCCCCGTCCCCCGTCCGAACATCGCCGTTTGGGTGGTTTCCAGTGCAATTTTTTGATGATTTTTTTTGAGCATGTTCTTTATCAAGTCTAGTATATCTACAAAACATTTCAACTCAAAATTCGATCAGGAATGCAATCAAATCTTTTTTGAGGTTGAATGCGTTTTTATATGTATATTTTGGCGCAGTCAACTTCAAAAAAATGATTTGACTGCCTTCACGATCGAATTTTGAGCTGAAATTATTTGTGGATAAACTAGACATGATAATAAACATGCTCAAAAAGTTTTATCAAAAAAATCCACTGAAAACCGCCACAAACGACGGTGTTCGGACGACGTTCGGACGGGGGAGTGCTGGACAAGATCATGTGGGTGGGTGGGTGGGTGGGTGTGTGTGTGTATACATACATACATAATTACGTACGTACATACAAAATAATGCTTCCACTTGCAAAATAGGGAGTATCTTTCTTCATTGTTTCAAAATAAATAGTTTCATATAATGCGAAACTATAGTAAAATTGAATTGTGCATATGGTAAAACTGAAATGCGCATTAAGTGAAATTGAAATGTGCAGAATGAAAAGTTAAACTCAAATGTGCATTATGTGAATTTGAAATATGCAGAATAAAAGGCACAAAAATGTCACCGCATTGTAGTTTTTATTTAGCACATTTCAGTTTCACCTATTGCATATTCCGGTTTGCTCTAATGCACAATTCAGCTTCACATAATATCATTGTGTCTTACTTTTTGTGTTGCACATTTTGATTTCACCTAATGCACATTTCAGTTTCACTTAATGCACATTCAATTTCACAAAATATAATCTAACGGTCCAGATTCATTCTCATTTCTCTCCTAAGATCATTTTCTCACTTGAACCTTATATATATATATATATATATATATATATATATATATATATATATATATATATATATATATATATATATATATATATATATATATATGTATGTATGTATGTATATATATGTATATATATATATGTATGTATATATATATATATGTATATATATATATATATGTATATATATATATATGTATATATATATATATATGTATATATATATGTATGTATGTATATATATATCTATATATATATAATGTGCAAGTTTAGAGTAATTATCTCATATCCCTTCATGAAAAATCTTTATTTTATTTATAAAATATAGTTTTTTCATAAATAAACAAATTGGTCAATTCATCACTCCCTTAAGAATTTCCTCAATTTTAGGAGATTCTAGTATTGCCAAACAGGCGTTTATTCTACCTGCTCGAACAATCACTTATATAAACTCTTATTATCGATAAGTATTCCCTCCGTCCTATTTAAATCTTTACACTTTTCTTTTTGGGATGTCCCATATATTCCTTAGGTTTCTTTTTTAGGCAACTCATTTTACATTAAATTTCCTAACTACCCTTCACCATCCATCCACTTTTTATATTTGAGTAGATAGCATTAATTTCCCTCAAAAGTCAAAGGGAATTCAAGTCACTTGTTCTTCTATTAATTGAGCTCATTAAACATCGTGTCATAAGCAAACGTGAAGATTCAACGGGACGAAGGGAGTATTTTTTACATGATACTCACTTTTTAAATCTTATCCGTCATCACAAACATACAGAGTATATGTTTATATTTCTATATATCCCCATTCATTCTTTGTAGATGATGTTATTTTGTATTTAAGAGTTGTCCATAGTCCTCTAAAGAGTCATATTAGATGTGTTTGGAAAGTGAAACGTTGTTTAGTAAGAAATTGTTTGGCCTAACGTCTTCTATCTCTACAAATAGAAGAGTTTTGGATTGACGTTTTGAAATATATGGTTTTCTACTAATTATTGTTGTCAAACAGCTAAATTACCAAACATCTTTTGTCAACCCGACACCTTACTCCGATAGTAAATCCCACTATTGACAACCTGAAACTGTGAAATGTGAAACACACTCATTACCTTAAATTGTATTATAAACCTAAAAGTACCCCACATGTAAATATTTTGTTACAAATATGAGTCTGAGGGGAGTGTGGTGATTGGTGAACGACTAAATTTGGTGGTCGGCTAACGTATACATGGTCTCGTTAAGGGGTGCATTATTCATCCACCAAAGACCACCATTCCACATTTCCAGCAATCCTCACCCCAAGTTTTCATTGTCAACTTTTGCAGCCAAATTACCTAACCCAACTACCCAAGTATTTGATTTGGTAATATGAGTACTTTGGTTTGGTATTTGTGTTATCGCACCCCTAGTAATAATATTAATATTAACAACATTTAAATCAATTTAAATGTGTGTTAATAATATATACGTGTGTGTATATATTATTTATTTACACATATGCTGATATATACATATAACTATCAGGCTACCACCATAATGCATACTCCATTTTGTTCCTCTCGCTCACCGAGTAACACAGCTTAAAACTTCTGAGATTAATCTCATGTGCTTTTTCTCTAACCCACTTAATTTCTTGCATGCACATTATGCTGATATTCCTCCTCTTCATAATCTCGGCTATCTCAGACGATCTTTCCGTAAGAGAGCCAACATTTCATATCCCAAAACGCAATCTAGCATCACGCCTTCTCTTCTTCACACCACATCAACCTCCACCATGCCCTTGCATATTTGAAACTATCCCTGGGCATCGGAGTGGCACGTCACTTTCGGCCCACGACCTAGCAGCCTTAGCATTCTTATCACCACACTCATGCCTATGAAATGTACTGTGTCGTTGCTCATTTGACACCACCCCCAGGCGGAGGAATGACGAGTCGCTTACGAGTGATGACCTAGCTGTAGCAATATTCATATTTTGATTCATGTCATTTGGTGTGACTAAGTGATATTGTTAACCGTCACACACCTACCACACCACCCTCCTCCTTTATCCTGGCTTGGGACAGACATGATACCAAAATAATGATCTCCAAGGGTTTTCTTCAATAAATTTTAGAATCACAAAAATCAGAAATGCAAAATAATATTTTGTTGCCTTTTTAAATAAAAATTTGTTGCTTTCATTATATTACAAAAGTAACATATTTACAAAGTTAATTTAGTATACTCTGTAATATAGTATAATATTTGTGTTTTTGAAAAACCAGAATATCTAGGAAGCTTTCACATTTTCATTGTTAGATTTCACTCTTCAGGCCTTTAATAATTAATATTATCATCCTTATCGCATTAATTGCAACATTGGAATATATACACTATTCATGTACTTTACTTTGACTACATTTTATTTATTAATGTATGTGAATTATTTTTTTGAAAAATGTTGTTAAATTCATCTCATTACTAAGTTTTATAATCTGATTTTTATTTTATTTTTACTAATACAGAATTAAATATAATGACGGTCAAAGTTGTGTGTTGGCAAACGTGAAATGTTGACTGTTGCAACTAAAAAGAGACGGAGGAAGTACTACGTAGTAAATTCGCAAACAAACCACCTTTTCTATGTCTATCTACTATGTGTGAATAATTGTCATCACCTCATGCCTATTAGTAGGGATGGACCCAGGCCGGTCCGATTCCGGTTCCGAGCCGGGCCCGGGCGGGCTTTTTTCCATTTACTTGGGCCCGGAACCGGCCCGGGTTGATATCGGGTTCAGGACTAACCGGGTCAGGCCGAACCTAGCCCGGTTCAATGTTTAAATTTTTTTTTTGGCTTTCTTGTTATCCCCCGACCTCCCCCCTACCCCCAAAACACCCAGCCCTACCCTAGGAAAAAAAATTGAAAAAACAAAAAAAAAATAGGCTTGGAACCGGCCTGAACCGGCCGGTCCGGTTCAACAAAAATGGGGGCTCGTAACCGTCCCGCCTGACCCGCCCAACCCGGGCTAAAGCCCGGAACCGGCCATCCGGGTCCAGTCCGGGCCAGGCCGGGCCTCAGTTTTAATTTTTTTTTTTTTTTGGCTTTTCCTAGTTAACCCCCAACCCTCCCCCTCACCCCCAAACCAACCCTAACCACCTCAAATGGCCCAAAATACCCAGCCCAACCCAAAAACTAAAAAAAAAAATTCAAAAAAAATAATAAATTGGCCCGGCCCGGGCCCGAACCGGCCGAGCTGGTTCACCTTTTGAAGGGCCCGAGCCCGAGCCCGAACCGCCATCCCACCAGGCCGGGTGGCCTGAACCGGGCAACCAACCGGTTCACCGGGCCGGTCTTAGCCCGCACAGTAGCGGGCCGGTCCGGTTCCGGGCCGGTTGGCCCGGCCCGAGTCCACTCCTACCCGGCACTAACCCGGGCCGGAATATTTTGGACCTGGAACCCGCCGAAGCCCGGCCCGGAGCCTGGCCCGACCCGGTCCCAGTCCATCTTTACTGCATATGCAACAAAGTACGAATTTTAAAGGTAACACAGTAACACACTTCATCTACATTGGGTAAGTCCGTGGTGCCAGGTTCAAGTCATTGTTTTTCAAGGAATTCTTCATCAACTTCTACAGACACAAAACTCTGTGACTCTGTGAGTACCTAGATTGCCCGCCTAGTACCTAGCAACCTAAGAGGGAGTCAAGTACCTAGGCCCCTGCCATAAAGAGGCGGTCTAGACCTAGGCCGCCTTCAAGGACTCGGACTAGACTCTCGGACACCTAAAGTACACCATGAATTTCCAGTAAAAACATGCACGAGGTTCTACCCTCCTATCTGCATTTGATTTTTCAATAATACAATGACCATAAATATGACCCTCCATAAATATTAATAATGCAGGTGTCCATACCATTTTTTGCACGAATAATTCCGTGAAGTCGTGAACCCTGAAATTAGAAACCAAGTAACCCTCCAGTGGCCCTCCAGGGGATCCGTCCTGTGACCATCATGAGAACTTTTTTTGGGCACACAAATACACGCCACTTATTCTGATACTTTGTGATGCTCTCGATGTGCATCAAAGAAGGATTTATAGATTTATGAACGGCAGCAGCAGTAGAGAGTAGTAATAAGATTAAAAACAGCAACACTACAGACAGCAGCAAATAGACTAATGAACAAGGCACAACAGGCGAACAACAGAAACGGGTACTACAGAGATAAAAGATAGGTAAGTTGCTAACACAAGAAATAATATGAGAATGGGCATGCAACAAATTGTTCACTTGTAATGTGCAAAGTTGCAAATAAAATCAGAAGGTTCAAGCAGCTGTTCGCCACCTATACTTTTTGTGGAACTTTACATGTAGCCCTTTTTGTAACGCCAGTGCCTGCTGAAAGTTTGTGATCAGTTTAATGTGAGACAAAAACATCTTTAACCAACAAAGAATGCAATATTTAAAGTTATATACAGTACCAAATAACCTGCTGCCCGTTATTATATCATCATTCAAAAAAGTAGTATCATAAGTTAATAGCAACTGAAAAACCGGCAATATAGTACTGAGTACCATAAGACGGAAACTTCTTTTGACACAAAACTTAAAGGCGGTTTATTTGATCATAAAGTAATACGTACTATTACCACAAGTCTTGTTATTTTCTGAAACAAAAGTAATATTACTACTTAGAACCTGTGTTCTAAAAGGCTTAATTAGGCGGCGCAGAGGCGTGCCTATGCGCAAGGCGCATAGCAAATGCCCCACACATCAAAAGGTGTGCACAAAAACGAGTTAAGCCTTTAAAATCCCGAATATAAATTAACTAATAGGCGTGTTAGGCCATATTTAAACCCATACGCACATGGCACAACGTGACTGCTATTCCCCTAGTTAGCAATTTTCAATTTAGATGGATGACTTTAATATATAGGCAGTCAGGAGGAGGAATTGTCTTCTCTTTTCCGGTGTGGGAACATTAAAGTAGTACTACGTTTCACCCATCTGCTCGCTTACATTCAGACTCCTTACATTGTTTATTTCTTAGTTCTAAATTTACATCTATCATATTGCTTATATTATATAACTATAAAATTTAGTTCAATCACTTCATTCTTGAATAATAATCATTAACATTATTGTATTATCTCTACTAAATAGTACGTAATAATAGTTTATTATTGTTAAATTACTATTTTTACTCTTGTTTGTTAAAATAATATGCTTATTATTGTTATTAGTCATTTTCATTTTCATTTACCCCAGTGCCGCAAAGGCTCTCCCACCTACGGTGGGGTAAGGGGGGGTCGGATGTACGCAGTCTTACCCCTATACTAAAGCACAGAAAGACTGTTTCCGGATGACCCATAGTGAAAATCGCGTCCAAAATTGTATGGACTGACTGCTGCTTCATTACAAAGAAGCGCAGACAGTTTAGTGAGCCATTTTGCTTTATTCCATCATAATCTCAAGCCAAAAAATAATGAATCTTTGGCTCCATTGCAAATGATGGAAAGGCTTATTATTGTTATTAGTATTAGGGGAAAATAATTTCAATATCCCAAACTTTCAAGTGGTGTGAGATGAGTACCCCAAACTTGCACATGTAATATATATATATATACCCTAAAATTTATACAAAAGTTTGTTAGCACCCTAAACTATAAAAACTTTATAGTATATGTTCTGTTACATTTATTACGTTTTCAGATCAAGTTTTTGTGTCATTGGTAAATTTATGCTCTGTATTTGTTAGAATCAGTACTCGACAAACCCTTTTTGTTGAAAATGAGAAGAATCTGATGTTTGATGTTTCTGAATGACTTTATTGATTTTTAAATTTAAATATTTAAAAATAGCTTTACGAATATTAATATAAAGGAAAAAAAATCAAAGGCTTAAGGCTTGGCCGTGCCGCCTCGGCATGCCTTACGCCTTTTAGAACATTGCTTAGAACTCGTTTGGTAACACTGATATTGGCTGAATTGGATGAATGATGAATCTGCTCAAATCGATGAAATGTTGGTTAAAGCGGCTGAATTGGCTAAATCTGGTGAATTATGGAAAATTTATCTATGTAGTATAAAATACTACCTCCGTTCTCTAATAAATGTCTCATATTCATTTTCGGGATGTTTTTAATTATTTGTCCCTCTTTCCCTTTTTAGTAAGTTTTTTCAATCAAAATACTTTTATACCCCCACTTTTATCACCCTTACCCCTTTTTACTTTTTACATACTACTTTCTCTTTCCTACTTTATCATTACTCTACTCTTCTCAATATATTCTCTTTCTACGTTTTCATTTACCCTACACCCTCTATAATACCCCTATTATTTTCTTCTTAAAACCCACAAAAATCCTAAGGAGACTATTAATGAGGAACAGTGGGAGTACATTTTATTAATAACAACAATATTTCCCCAGTGCCGCAAAGGCTCCCTTAACACCCTGCCTTCTACGGTGGAGTAAGGGGGTGTTAGATGTTTGCAGACTAACACCTGTACCAAAGCACAAAGAGAATGTTTTCGGATGACACATGATGAAAATCGCATCAAAAATTACATGAACTGGCCTTTGCTTCATAACAAAGAAACGCAGACAGTTTAGTGAGCCGTTTTACTTTATCCTATCTTATTATCCCAAGCCAAAAATAGTAAGTCTTTGGCTCCATTGGAAATGATGAAAAAGAATAGATAAAATGGTCTTCTACCACTACTTCAGTCAATTCAGCCAAAAAAGTAATCCAACCTTACCTATTTTGATTATTACACAACTCAACGTGTGAAATAAGAAGTTACGTATTTGGTAAAAAATGGATAATAAGATAAATAGATTAAAAATGAGGGTTACAAAACAGGCTCTTAATATGTTTAAAAGTTCTACATCCATCCCAAGAAAAGAGCAATCTTTTTAATACTAAAACCATAATTAGAAACGGAACTCCTTTCGGACAGAGGAAGTATTACTTTTGACCAAAGAGTATTAGTGTTTCAGTCTGACATAGTCTCACTGTCTCACACATGTTTTTGTGATAAGTGACCTGTCTCACACATGTTTTTGTGATAAGTGACAACTAAATACTCGTTTGTATCTCACTGACCTTCTTTATTTTGATAAAATGAACAGTTTGTTTTAGTTCCATGGAGTTATATGTATTACAGGCTTATAGCAGTGACATTGTATTCCTTATGTTAAGATGCCATGTATTAGTAGAGGGTGAGAATTGTGGATACCGACGAATTTTCCTTTGTAGTGAAGTAAAGAATACCTGATTAACTTTTGGGTTTTCTTTTCATTTCTTCAATAACTTCTCTTTCATCCTCTCAACTGCACTTCTTAGTGTCTGCTCGTCTTTGCAGAAAGCAAATCTTACAAGATTCTTTCCATCTTCAGGATTTAGATAAAAAACACTAGTTGGTATGGCTACGACTCCAACCTCCTTTATTAGATACTCACAAAATGAAATATCATCTTTCATTCCAAAAGGTGTGTGATCCACCATCACAAAATATGTTCCACTAGATGGATACACGGTGAAGCCTGCAGCCTTCAACCCATCCACCAGTATGGCCTTCTTTACTAAGTAATCCCTCTTAAGCTCCACATAATAAGAATCAGGTGCTTTAAGGGCTGCTGCCGAAGCATATTGCATTGGAGTAGACGTAGCAAAAGTAAGAAATGAATGAGCTTGCCTCACTCCCCATGTCAAATGTGGGGGAGCAATTGCCCAGCCTATTTTCCAGCCTGTCAGTGAAAATGTCTTCCCCAATGAGTTCATGGTAACAGTCCTTTCATACATTCCTGGAAGAGAAGCAATTGAAATGTGTTCTGTTTCGAATGCTAACTTGTCATAAACCTCATCAGCAAAGACAATCACATCATTTTCGATGCATAGTGAGGCAATCACATTGAGTTCTTCCTGGGTAAACATTTTCCCTGTTGGGTTGTGGGGTGTGTTCAGGAGGATTGCACGGGTATTTTTAGATATAGATGATCTGAGCTCATCAAGGGGGACCGAAAAATCCGGGGGGCGTAGAGTAACACACTTTATCTTAGCTCCAGCCATAGCCAACGTAGCTTCATAAGAATCATAGAAAGGAGCAAAGAGTATTACCTCATCACCAGGGTTTATCAAGCCTAACATGGTTGCTGCAATTGCTTCAGTGCAACCAGAGGTGACAGTGACTTCTTTGTCAGGGTCAATAGCAAGGCCAGTATCTTTCTTGAACCGTGCAGCTACAGCAGCATTTAGGTCAGGGACGCCATGACCTCGAGCGTATTGATTTTTACCATCTCTGATTGCCTGAATAGCTGCTTCCTTTACAAAGTCGGGCCCGTCAAAATTGGGGAATCCTTGGCCAAGATTTATAGCACCATACTTGATGGCAAGCATACTCATTTGGGTGAAAATTGTGGTTTTGAACTTCTCTAGGCGCTTTGCAACCTGGAAAATAAGAAAAATGGTGAGTAGAAAATAGTAAACAATATGCCCATTTGGTAACCCATTTTTTTAGGAAAAAGTATACAAAACCCTACATTTAACCATAAGGTTTGGCCCGTTAATTTTTATATTGGCATTTTATTAGTGATAAATAAAATGGCTAAATAGGAAAGTCTATGTTTAACCATTAGGATCAAAGCCATCACTGATAGTAAAACAAACCTTAGATATATATTAGTAGATGTCTTGTTCTTTGTAGGATAATCAAATCAAGAGGTATCCATGAATCCATGATTAAGGTTTTATGTATCTCTGCTTGATCTTTATTTCTTTCCCTAATTAAAGAGATCTCATAGTCTTTTGTTGTAATCATTCAATTTAAACAGTCCTTGACTGATGAACCATGAATGAAAATGGAAAATCTTTAAAAGGGTTTTCTATTTCAGTGTAAACTTTGCTTTGTCCACAATGATGTTTTCATCACTTAAAATTTCAACTTTTATGGTCAAGTTTTGTGTCAAACTTTGAGCTTGAGGGCATATAGTGAAGTATAAGAGACCATAGGTTTATAGAAATCATAGGTTTAGCGCATTAGATTTATAACACATTCCATTCTCAGAGTAGTACAGTGGCATTATTTTTGCAGTAACAAACTGCCATTTTCTAGTAATCATGTACCGGCGGTCCGGCCCTCTAGTAATCATGTACTACTTCAGTGCTGAAAATTCTAGTTTTTGTAAAATTGAGGCAAAGTATTTTATCATTATAGGTACATTTTCTACAGTCTGCAGCCCAATAGTTTCATAAAACAATTGAACAAGCCATCACCAAAATTCTCTAAGAGGGCACACTCTGGGTATTGACTAAGAAAGGCAGTGTAAGCATAACCGCAACAGGGATCCAAAAGTTTCTCCTTCCAAGTTAGTAAGCATAATTAAGCTACCACTAAGAAGACGCAAATCAAATCTCGAATTACCTCCCATCTTTATAACGTATGTGCTTCTAGAGAAGCCTACTAAATATTTTGCATAACTGCATAAAAATACTAAAATAGAGTGATCTAAAGTCGTACTGCAAGTTACTACCTTCACCAAAAAAAGATTCTTGTTTGACTTTGGTATTGTTTAATTTTGGTGATGTGCAGGTCTTAAAAATCATCCATCCTGCTTTTTCTTTCAAGTTTGTTGGTTAGTTAAAACTAAAGTTATCACATTTCAACCATCCAGGGGAAGATCAAACTCAACCAAGTCCATTTTCGGCACTTCACTATGAGATTTCCAATCTGAAGGGCTCTCCACAAAGAAAAAAGTGCACATGTAGCCGTGGTCGAATTAGGGAAAAATTATACGGAGTGTAATACAATAAAAAGCAACAAGATCGAGAAGAAAACAGCCCATAAGTAAGATATAATTAGCAATTCCAGCGTTCCTATCAATTTAACAGATCATAATTGGAACCGAAAAAGAGCATACTGTACCTGCAGGGGCTGAGCGGACTTTGAGTTTGGCTCCGAAACGGCTCCCTCATTCTGGGTAGAAACAGTAGACAAGCTGGCCATCGGAAAGGGCTGGCCGGATAATATTCCGGTAAAGCTCAGGCCACCAGCGCCAGATGTTGAATTAAGCAATGAGGTTGGTCTGAAGTAGGAAAGAGTCAGTGGTCTGAATGTGAGCATTTCACGAGTTAGCATCTCATTTCCGGTATGATTTTGGCAGCAGTAAAGGTGCCCGTCTAGTGTGGCATTTGAAAAAAAATTGAAAATAAAAATTGAAAAATGTGTGCTTTTTATGAAAAATTATTTAAATAAGACTAAAAAGGTTTGTTTATTCTAAAATATGATTATCATGTTTTTGTTTCTAAAATAGAACTAATTGCTGACATGTTTTGGCAGTACCAGACTTTAAAGATGACAGTATTTTTCAAATTTGGCAATAATTACTCCTATTTTGGAAATAAAAACATGTCAGTTCTATTTTGGAATTTTCAAACTTTTTTACTCCTATTTCGGGAATTTACCCGCTTTTTATTCATTTCATTTTTTGGCCCTTTTCTATAAATATTGCTCCCTCCTTTTCAAAATAATTGTCTTGTTTGATTTAGCACAACTTTAAGAAAGTAATTCAAAGGGTAAAAATTGTGGTTAAAATTGATTAGAAAATGAATGAAATGATATGAGTGGCGTATTATTGTCAAATAAGAAAAAAGATGATTATTTTAGGACATCCCAAAAAGGAAAGTGAGACAATAATTTCAGGATGGAGTGAGGACTAAATTAAACTTAAAAACAAAAATATGACCTACCTTACAATTTTCCAGAAAAAGTCATATATTCAATGACTAGTTCCCGATGATTGATCATCTAACAATGACCTATCACTCTACTCTTATCCAGTAACTCGTACACAATGATTAATCATATTTTCATCTAAAATATAAGCAATTATATTTGTGTAAATAGAAACTTTTTAGAAAAAATGACCTCAATATAACTAATGAGCTTTCCATTTTCAAAAATATGACTCATTATTCAATTCCCTAAAATATGACTTTACTCTTATCCCAGCTCTTCTTCATCGCGTCTTCCATCTTCGCGCCTGCGCAGCTTCCTCCATCGCAGCTCCCCAGAATCCTCCATCGCTCCTCAACCGCAAGCAACATCGACCAGCTTCCTCCATCGCAGCTCTCATATCCAACCTTTCGTACTCCTCTGTCGCATATCCAACCTCCTTCATTTCTCCTCTCAGCTCTCATCTCCAACCTGGGAAGGGACAATCTGACCGCCTGCGTCACTAATCTCCATCGCTGGGAAGGGAAATCCTTCGCGCGACGACGTTGCCTCGTTGTCCTCCTTCGCGCGATGTTGCCTCGCCGTCCTCCTTCATCTGCGAGGTTTGCGATGCTCTCACAGCGGATCACCGGCGCAGAGGAGCTCCGACCAGCGTCGAGAAGCTCGGATCAAGGCGGACATCCATCGTTGGTCGCTACCTTCGATGTCTTCTTCTTCTCCTTTACTTTGTCCGGAATCCGCAGATCTGGGGTGTTTGGGTCCGGTTTGGGCTAAATCTGGGGTGGGGGAGCTGGCGGTCAAGCTTGTGGCTAGGTAGGTGGGAGGGGGGTCGGAGGGGGTTGGGGATCTGGTTGTTTGTGTCCGGTTTGGGCTAGATCTAGGGTGGGGGAGCTGACGGTTGGGCTGGGGTGGTGGCAGCCTGGCAGGGGGGTCAGAGGAGGTTGGGGAGGTGGCTGGGCAGGTAGCCGGGTCTGGGCGGTGATCACGGACAGTCGCTCCAGGCGGTGGGGAACTCACTGTGGTGCCGGAGTCACTGTGTCATCAGAGTCACTGTGGCAATGGGCAGTCACTAAGATTGGTGTGCGGGAAGTCACTGTGGCCTGAGTGACTAACCGGTGGGACGGTCACTTTGGCCAGAGTCACTTTGGCGGAGTCACTTTAACGCCTCAGGCAGTGGCGGTGGTGCTGGCGGCGGCGGCAGTGGCGATGGTGCCGGCGGCAGCAGTGACAGTGGTGACGATGGTTGCGGCGGTCAGCGGTCATAGGACTACTAATCAAATATATAAAATAGTAATTATCTTGAGTAGGACTAAAACATAATGAAAATTCACTAATAGGACCATAAGTTTTTTATTCCTTAAATAGGACTATATTAGTCCTATGTAGAAATATAATAAAATCATATACCATCAATACGCTTCTTTTAAATAATTCCTAAAATTCCTTAATTTTCCATCCTATTCTCTCTCTCCTTGCACGATCAACTAGCTTTCTCCTTGTGCGTAGAAATAGACCGACTTCTCTAGTTCTCCCCTGCAACTTCTCTTCATTCATCGCAGCCACAGCCGACTCTACCGCCACAGACCGTCGTCGTCACCACCAACTTCGCCACGCGCCGTCACATGTTTCTTCTTCTTCTCCTTCTCCTGCTCCTCCTCTTTCTCCTTCCTTCTTCTTATCCTCCTCTTCTCCGATCTCCTTCTCCTTCCCCTCCTTCTCGTATTCCTCTATTTTAATGAGATTTGCCATTCATTTTTCTAATTTTCCTCATATTCTTATGTTTTCCTGGGATTTGACACTGATTTTGCTAATTTTAGAGATTTTGTTTTGAATTTTCTGACTTTTTGTTTCTGATTTCTTAGTTTTTTCAAAAGTTCTAATTTTCCAAAAGTTTGGATGATGGTTTCAGATTTTGCCATGTTTATGGCAGAAATGTGTACACTGACACTCGTGTAATGGCAAAAACGCTTTTGTGTAAATCGATTTTGCTAATTTTTTGTCACTCGCCTCTTATATTTAATTTTCGATTGTGTTATAGTTCTTATTTCATTTTTTTGATTTTTTTGGTTATTGACTTCATTTTTTGCCAATTTATGACAGTTTTGTGTAAAACTCCAAGATAAATCTGTCAACTTTATGAAAGATATGAAAAACCTTACTGATGTCAGATTTCAAATACTCTTAAAAGCTAAATCTTCCAACGTGATGGCAGATGTATGGCGTCAAAGCTGTGATGACGGCGCGGTGCTCGAAGGTGGAGTGGTGGTGCGCCAGAGATGGCACAGGATGGTGATGGCGACAGATTGCAACGCTGGTTGGGCGACACCACTTGGTGACGATGGATGGTGGCACTGGGGAGGAGTTAATTCGGTGGTTGAACTTTGTAACTTGATTCCCGAGCCTCTGTCATCGCATGATGTTTGCCGTTTTTTTCGAAAACTCCCGTCTGCGTAAAAACCAATTAATTATGCTTCAAGAATAAAATTGGCAAAGAAGACCCTATTAAGTCCCACGAAACATCACTCGCGTTTCTAGTCCTATTTGTGCACATGAGACTAATTTTAGTCCTGTATGGGTCATTAACTCTATATAAAATGAATATTAAAATGATTAAATACAAAGAATATGACTTTTAGTCACATTTTTGGAAAAATTTAAAACAGGTCACAAATTTGTCTTTTTCATTCATTTTAGTAATATTGGAATAAAAAGGTCAACTTTTTATTAGTAATATACATGTCGTTTCTTTCATTCTTTTTAGGGTTAATTATCAAAATAGGACTAAAAGTCACTCACTTTGCACAAATAGAACCAAAAAATAAACGATATTTTCACAGGACTAATTATGTGTGTCTTGGACAAATATACCCTTATAGCTGTTAAAATGTTTTAATTCATAATAAAATAATAAAAAATAACAAAAATCGTAAAAAATACTAAAAATTAATAAAAATATTTCGATAATAATAATTTATTTATCTTTTTTTCAAACAATAAAAAAATAAAAAAAAATAAAAAAAAAATAAAAAACTCAAAAGCAATTCACCGTCGCCCCTTCACCAACACCTCCCGTCATGAGGGAAAAAATGCCAAGTTCATTACGAATGACATATTTATGGCAGAAAACAATGAAAATGTTGGCATTCTCAAAGAGAAATGTGTCATGTTTTTTGGCATTTTCAGAAAAAATTGCAGTTTTTAGGAAAAATGGTAATACAGGCGGTGGGAAAGGCATCCATATGTTTTTAATTTTTTTTATGGAGTTTTACTTTTTTATTAATTTTATTAAAAAATTATTTTATAAATATTTTATAATTTTTTTTAATTATTTTTCTACGATTTTTTGAATTTTTTCAAATTTATTATGAATTAAATATTTAATTAACTCATAAGTAAAGGAAGGGTATGAATGGAATGAAAAGTAGGTATGTTTTCAATAAGACTAATATGGTCCTATTTTGAAAAGAAAAATATAGTAAGTCGTATTTTGAGTTTTTGACATAGTTTTGGTCCTATTTGGAGTAATTTCTATTCTTTTTATGTGCATTTCATTAGTTCATAATTATATCACTTAAAATCTAGAACGTTGTTTGAGGACATGTTAATTGATTTGGTTTATGTGAGATGATACCAGGCCAAATTTAATTTAGATAATATTATTATGTACGAAATAGTAGAGTAAACATGAAATAAATTTTTACCATAACATATCAGAACAATTTAAATCATACTAGGCTCAAATGAAACAAATCGAATGAGAATGGAAAATTTCAATTCAATTAAAAACATTTTAACTGGTCGCCTACGATTTTAATATATTGCGCAATTTTATAGAATAATTGCTAACAATTTTGACTAATTGTACATGTTATGTTGTTTTACAAAATAAACCCAAAAAATGACAACCAGAAAATCTTGAGGATCTCTTTTCAAATACAATATATGTGTCTTCTTGAACACAGCTCTTGAATAGTTACGATGTTAGGACAATAGTTGTACGAAAGAGTTGACTTGGTAAACTCACATTAATTTAATTAAATAATCTAATGTATTTCAATTAATATGTTAAACTGTTGAATATGTTTTGTTTATTTATTCAAGCTCCACTATACTTTTTATGAAGTTTAGAAATTAAATTATAGCTTTGGAAAATAGTGTAAAATGTAAAAATATAGCATAAATTACAATGAAGTAAGAAAATTGGAATGATATAATGAGGGCGCTTATGCAATAAAAAAATGGATCAAGTAATAAAAATTCTACAAAAGCTACAAACAAATCCTTCACTTTAAAAGGTAAAAATAGAGCATAAACAGAGAAATATGATATGATTAATGTCCATATGCAAGTACTAGTAATTTAAATTACGAAAAAAGATCATGTTCAGTCGGAGGGACAAGACTCGCCGTCCGGCCGCC